TTGGGTCGGGAACCCTTTCCGCTGGACAAAGCCCCATCCAACCTGGCCTTTAACACTACCAGGGAGGGGGCAGCCACAGCTTCTGCGGGTGACCTGTGCCAGTGCCTCACCACCCTCATGGTGAAGAATTTCTTCCTAATATCTAATCTAAATCTGCCCTCTTTTAGTTTAGAGCCATTCCCCCTTGTCCTATCACTACACACACTTGTGAAAAGTCCCTCTCCATCCTTCCTGTAGGCCCCCTTCAGGTACTGGAAGGCTCCTATAAAGTTTCCCTGGAGCCTTCTCTTCTCTAGGCTGAAGAGCCCCAACTCCCTCAGCCTGTCCTCACAGGAGAGGTGCTCCAGCCCTCTGATCACCTTCGTGGCCCTCCTCTGGACCCGCTCCAACACATCCAGCATTCTCGGTGTTGTTCCCGTGCAGGATAACAGGATTTCCCTTTGGTCTGTGGGAGATGTTGGAAATGTGGACCTCGATGGTGAATATCAGAGAGATCCTCAGCTGCTGTGTGACATCAGGCATGACGGTGACGTTATGGACATGCAGGTAAAAGAGCTGCGTTGAACAGATGTGTATTTTTTTAAGGGCTTGTCACTTAGGATAAATTAAGTCAAAATGCTGAGATTGACAAAAAAATTTCTTATGAACAGGAAGGGCAAAACCAATCTGTGTCAGTTTGTGTGTGTGTGTTTTCTGGTGTTTTTTGTTGTTTTTTTACTATACCTACCAATAATTTAGGTTACTCTAAAACCAAAATTATCATCTTGGTACTGACATCAACTGACAGCATGCTCATTAACTCTCTTTAGTTCTTGGATCAAGAGAGAATTGTGGTTGCCTCATCAACAGGAACTGTAACTGTGTTTCGTCATCATCAAAATAACCAGGTAAGTAACTTGCGCTGGCTTTAAGCTGCTGTTCTGTGTAGCACAGGTCACTTTGATCTTAGCATAAGATTGATCAAAACTGCTAGAGCAAGAAACATCTGCATACCAAAATCAATTTTTTTGAAGTCTGTTAGAAAAAAGCTTTGTCTTTATACATACAAGAAAAGAAAAAAGCATCTTGCACGCATACTACATAAGTTAGATTCTATAGCCAGATAGACTGGGCTATCCATTAGTATATACCTGTAACCAAATAGTATATTCACTGAAAAACAAGAGTTTAGATTGCTTTGGGGGAGTGGGTATTAACAGACTTGTACCTGCCTTATTAGGGTCTTTGCATTCTGGAACTAAATGACTCGAATTTCTTCTCACAAATGTCACGTGAGGGAAGACATATAAACTCTGTAGTCTTTTGCTTTGATTATAAAGCACTGAAAATAAATGTGGAATGACTTGTATATATATATTCACAATGACACAATAAAGACTAACATCTGTTAATAGTTTGATCTGGTACCTAACATAAACTAAATTCCTTGCAATCAAAATCTAAATCTGACCCTATATTTTGTAAAGGCCTCAGCTCTTTTCCCTTGGCCTGGGGAAAGATTGAAGGCATAAGTCTAGTGACAGGCATTTCACAGTTCATAAACAGATGGCGTTCTTTCTGATTTCCAGCTCATGTGAAAAAGGTGTTTGAGAGAAGAAATAATTGATGTTTCATTGAAGGGTTGCGTGCTCAAGAGTTGAGGAAAATTTAGACCTCTGGTTCTTACCTATGTAGGAGATTCTCATTCCTGTGAAGTAGCGTGGCTTTCCTGGAGCTTGTTTCTGGTTCTGTGAGTATTCTGGAAGCTTTGTTCTATCACAATCATTATTTAACAGCAGAATTTCATGTCTGGTTACTGTTTAGACTTTATCGGCCAACCAGCGGTGGGAGAAAGCCCATTATCATGTGGATCAAGACACAACTTGTGGTGGAGCACCATGTACTGGAGTCATCTGCAACAACCCAGAAATTGTCACTGTTGGAGAAGATGGTAGGATAAATCTCTTCAGAGCTGATCAAAAGGACGCAGTAAGAACTATAGGTATGTCAAATAACTGTTCAAATTAGTTTAGTTTGGAGTGGTTTGTTTGGTTTTTAGCTTCTCAAATGATAACCAAGGAAAAAAAAAGTCAGTTGAGAATTGAATTAAATATTCCAAGTTGAATGTGTTTGCTCCACATTATTCCTGTATTCCTCCAGATATCTGAAGTGTATTTCAGATGTATTTCTATATTCACTCAGATATTTGCAAATTAATGTTTTAACTGATGGAGAGGTCTCAAGCCTAACATTCTCTGTAGGCTTCTGTTTCCCCTAGAAATGGTTAAATGCTATGACAGTATACATTGAAAATTTCGATTTGCTATTTGTACTAAGATTAACCCTCATGGTGTCCATATTCAAAACCATCTATTTCTGTGTCATAAGGAACACCAAGAACCAGAAATCACTGTTTGCACCCTGTTCTTCTGCCAGATATCATGGCTTACAGTGATCATTTCTCCCTTACTGAAAATGCTCCCGTATTTCCTAAAGTAATGGATTACGTGATATAGAGTAAGATGCTTGTGAAAGGTGTCAAAACTTGGTTATTCTCAACTCTACTATCATGCTAGTCTCATGAAAATACAATACAAGTTTGTAGCATCTGTTGGAAATGAAACCTAAAAGCAGAAATAATTTAAAAAGACAGTAACACCATATTTGATAGTGGTATTATTAAACTGGGACTTTCTCCCTGAAACTTCAGTCTGACACAGCACCTGTGTTTCTCCTCAAGCAAAGTCTTGCCTCTAACGGATGAAGGCATTTGCACAGTGGTAAGCCAATTAAGGAAGGAAGTGCTCTGGGATTTCTAGAGAGGGTGTTTTTGTGTGTGTGGCTGTGTATACACACACAAGATAAATCCTATTAATTGCATACAGTCTGTTACTGAAGCTTCTTGAGAATTCATGTAGGAAACTTTTCTGTGCTTTTTTTTTTTTAAAAAAAATCTGCCTCTTCCCCTGATACCTTTTCTTTTAAAAAAAGAAAAAAAAAAAGGTATCAGGGCATGAGGCAGATTTTATTAGCATGTGCCCACAAAACACAGTAGCTTTGCCTTTGAGGGGCGAGAACATTAACTAGTTCAAAAGGATTACTTTATTTTTAAATTTTTACTTAGATACACATATTAACGCAGAGTGTTCTGGTACAAGTTTAATTTAGTAGAATATTTTGCTGACTCACAGGAAGCAGATGTTTTCCCCCCCCCAGATCTATATTTTTCTCTGAGCAATTGCTCAGATGCTTACATACAGATTTAACAATGTGCAGGATGCAAGCTGTTAGTTTTCTTTGTCCTCGCTTGATAGTACTACGTAGAAATGCTTTCTTTGTAGTGGTTGCATCAACCAGTGTTACGCTGCAGTAAGACTTTGCACTGAGATTTGCTGGCGCATAAATGTGTAAGAAACCACGTGATTTAACTGAGAAATGTCCGTTTTGGAAATGGGAAGGGATATGTTAAAATAGGAGTGGTCCATAAATAAGTCAGTGATACCTATGGCCTGGTAAGTGACGCTTACCTGGAGTTACGTGGAAGGGACTAGCACAAGCTCATTGACTAGAGGTTGTTTTACAGTAAAAGTTGGAGAGGGGGAGAGAACATCTTGGAAGATGCTCTTAAGTTCTCAGGATGGAGTTCTATAGTGTAAGCAGTCCCTCATACTGGTTCCAAATTCAGTGACATCGTGACATTTCCCAGGCGCTGAGCTGAACTCTCAACCTGTTTTAACATAAAGATAGAACTTTTGTCCCTCATGAAATATTTGTAAAGGAGTACCTTGTTATTTTTGTTACTGTTTAATGGGTTTAAACATATCAACTTTGTATTATACTCTTATAGTCAATCATAGTAGGAAAAAATCTCCAAAGTTAGAGGTTATGTAAAAATCTTTTGGAGCCATAAAGATGTATCATTGGTAAATCACTTACTGTTATTCTGTCACAAAATGTTAAATCCTTTAGAACTTCAGTGTTCAGTAATCTAACATTTCTTTTTAAAGGTGTTTTGGTTTTCCTTTTTTCGCTTCCGCTCAGCCTTCATTTATACAGTAGTCAGAAAACTTCTTCAAATATCTGCAACGAGGCATCAGTGTAATTTGTGTGTCTCAATATCAGGAAAGGTTTGCATCATATGCAGCAAAAAATTCATCTCTATTTTCAGTACGGACTTACACAAAGAACTTTAAAATACATGAGGTGAAAGCAGACTTGACAATGTTACCCCATTATAATCAAGATGAAAAGTTTATATACAACAACAGAATGAAAATATAAGAATATGGTGTCTACGTTATTCTGTCCTAAAGCCTCAGAAGTTTCACCTCAATGCTGTGAAGTGTTTGACATTGTAAATTATTCTGACCAAAAGAAGCACTGGAGAAAAGGTCCTGAAAAAAAGAGCTTTACCATTTTATTGTTAACAAGCAAAGCATAATTCTGGTTTGGCTTTAGGGACAGGGATGGATATCGCATTGGCCGTTCTTGGACAAGGTCCAAGGAAAGTTGGTGAATTAAGTGCTTCTGTATACAACTGCTTAATGTTCTCAGCTAGAGTTAGTGTTTCTTGTAATAAAAAGACAAGTTGCATTCTGAAAAGCTCCATACCTTGCCTCCTGTCAGTAGATGCAGAGCATATAAAGAAAACTCTTACGCAAACTGTGGACCTGGCTCTTCTTAGGAACTACAGAAAGAAATCTCATGGATCAACAAGTAGTTCTGTAAGCACCGGAGCTAATTAAACATAGCTTTTTACAGGCTTGTCTCTGTAGTGTTTGATACAGGAAGCAAGGGCTCCTTTTTCACAGGGTACCCTTGCAACACTTAAAATTTCAGATGACACTGCTCTGTCCCTGCCCCTGAAAATGCAGAGATTGTAACCGTGTTTAAGCAGCGGTGTTCTGTTTTCCAAAAGGAGGTATTTTGTCATAATTAAATCGAGACTAGCATTCTGTAGGTTTACCTGAATGCTTTCCTCATCTCTCTTGCAGACAATGCAGACAGCAGTACGCTCCATGCAGTGACTTTCCTTCGCACAACTGAGATCTTGACAGTAAATTCAATTGGACAGTTAAAAATATGGGACCTCAGACAGCAAAGAAATGAGCCATCTCAAATATTTTCTTTGTAAGGCCTTTATTTTATTTTGTTTTTGTTACATACTTACTGAGAAGCATGTGCTACTTTATATAATATTATTTAAACTTTTCCTGGTACCCTCTTGACAATAGGAGGATAAATGACTGATTTTTTTTTTTTTAAAGGTTTTTAACTACTTTGGTATTTAAATAATCAAGAGCAGACTCTAGTAATGGCTGAATTGCTGTTGTGGCTGAGCACTGTATCTAGGTGTTCTGTTTTATGATTTAACTCTTGAAGGACTATCGCACCTGTACACGTGCTCTTTTTCAAGAAAAAAACGAAACAAAACAACCCTCAGCCCAAAACTCTTTCTCTCATTAAATACACTTTACATCTGTTTTTCTCCACATGCCTAATGTAAAGTTTCTGGCATTTGAAATGTATTTGAATAACTTTGTGCCTTATAAGGTATTGTAAGAAAACAAACTGAGCTAGATTCAAATCCTGTTGTCTGTGGAATAGTTCCCATTGCTGTTAATATGCTGTGGTTTTGATACCTGCTTTTGTTAGTGCCCAGTCTCCCTTTGCAACTCTATGTTGAAACTGTATAACATGAATTTCAGAGCAACCTTCTTATTAGTGTATGTATACTTCGAGTATTATGTGTATGCAAAGCTTTCTCACTCCTGTAAAGCTGTCGGATGTCGTGTAGATGCCTGGATATCATAGGGCACAGAACCTGATGCTCATCCAGTCGTAGCTTCATGTTATTGCCATACCTCAAATTTCCATTAGGTGTCACACGGCTTCAGCCTGTGGCGACCAGATGCTGCAGGAACTGAGGCTGCAGTCCATAGCGTTACCTTGTTCGTCAATGCCCCTAGGGATTAAGAAGGAGAAAATAGAAGCTGAATAAAGAATTCATGTTTGGTTTTTTGTGCTTTTTTTTTCCCCCTGCTCCTTTGCAGGACAGGTGACAGAGTTCCACTGCACTGTGTGGACAGGCACCCCAATCAGCAGCATATTGTGGCCACGGGGGGCCAGGACGGGATGCTGAGTATATGGGACATCAGGCAGGGTTCTATGCCAGTATCCCTGCTAAATGCTCATGAAGCAGAAAGTAAGTGTCTGAAATTGAGGGGGAAGAAGAAGGTGGCATTTTAGAAAAGTTTCCAATTTCTGTAAAAAAAATCAGGTGGTGTAGCTACAGTAGAAAGCAAGCACGTAGTCATTAGATGCATTTAATCAGAAAGGCTTTTTTTATAGAAGGGTAGGTATTTAAATAGTCATAGGCATTGATGCTGTGGTATGCAGGTATGGTAAAGCAACAATTCAGTTACTAACAAACTTTAAAATGTGAGGAAGGAGGGGAAACTGAAGATAGTACAGATCCACAGGGTGCCTCCACAATGCCGAAATGGCTCACTTTCCTGGTAACTTCATATGAAGAATACAGCAATTCATTTTGTGCTGAAAATTTCTCAACTTGATGCCACAACTATATTTAAGGAGTAAAAAATATTTGTTGAGATGTTAAGTTTTACCGATTTACATATCTTTTCCACAGTTGTGATATTTAGACACAAAATAATGTGTGTGCTGGGAAGGAATGCATGTTGTTGTGCAGATTTAAATTTAATAGTCAGGAAGATGGCATGAGAAAATACTCAGAATGCCTGAATTCAGATAATATTTTAACCTTTAACAATTTTCACAGTACTGAAAATGCAACAAAATTTCTTTTTTCTTTCTTTTCTTTTTTTTCTTTCTTTTCTTTTTTTTTCTTTCTTTTTTTTTTCTTTTCTCCTGGTGAGGGAAAACTGCAGTAAATAACCAAGTGTGCGGTTCTGGGTGTCCTACTGCACACAGTTAAGAATGGAAGGTTTTGGTGGGGGCCTGGGTTCTTGTAAGTGCATGTGCATATCATACTAGCCAAAGTGCATTGAACGAAGTACGTGATACTTGTTCTGAAGTGGTTTTGTTTGGTTTTGGTTTGATACTTCCAGTGTGGGAAGTTCACTTCCATCCTTCCAACCCTGATCACCTATTTACATGTTCTGAAGATGGATCTCTTTGGCACTGGGATACTTCCACAGACATATCTGAAAAACCATCTTTTCTTCATCAAGGTAAGGGTGCTTGAAGTCAATCTGCACTGAATTTGTCAGTTGGCAACATAATTAAAGTCGATGTTCTCATATGACTCAATTCATAATACAGTCCTAATACAGAAAATTAAAAGCTGATTTCTCTTACAAGAAAGCCCTAATAAGCACTTCAGGAAAACTACTTCTAAGGTGAACAGTTGCGTGAGGTTTTTTGTGGTCTGGGTGAGTGGGTGGGTTCTTTTTTTTTTTTTAATCTGCTGTACTCTGCCCAATGTGTGAAGGGGCACATACAGTATTTCTAAGATAGATCATGTTCAGCTAAAAACCATTTGTATGGAGAAAAGACATGAAGGCAGCCTAAATGACACATTACTATCTGAGTCTCTGAGGGAGATTACAAAATGTTACAATATCAAAATAATTGATACATTGATAGGATAGTGGAGTTATGAATTTACTATTCAAGGTCATAATTGGAACGTTAATGAATGAAACTGGATCCCTCTGTATTGTGGCAGGATTTTAATTAAAGATACGATCCTTACTTAATATAGATATGTATTTTCACATTCTAGTCACAAATACTGCTTAATTGCTTGCCACTTGAGACTGTAAACAGTGGGGAAACTTCCAGATGTCATCTGCTGACTTTGGCCTCAAAGTTGCCATTCAAAGCTTAATTCTGTATAGGGAAACAATAGGATAACCGATTCAAGTTGCACTCTGCGTGTTTTCAGGTATATTAAATATAAACCCTTTAGCACCACTTCAACCACTTGTTAATTTTATGTTGAATAATAGTTCTCAAACTGTGAGACTTCAGTTTGAATGTAAAATGTTATGTGGAAAAATTCAAAGTCATATCCAGGTGTATCCCTTGCTGCAAAGTAAGTAGGGAGAAGGGGCGGTAGGCAGTCAAGTGTTGTTAAGGCAAAGCGGACACCCCAAATAAATATAGCAAGACACTGTATAAACAGACTTTTGTTCTTCATTCTGTCCGTGCTTTAGTCTCTGGCTAGAAAAACTTGTAGATACTTACACTGTTTGTTCATAGCTGTACTGACTTATTTGTCTTAACTGGGGACAGAGCCGGTAGCAGGTTTCTGTCATCACAAGTACTTGGGGTTTTTTTGCACTATTTTTTCCTTCATTTACCAAAGAGATGACAACACCTGTTAATTAATTTGAAAACTTACTTAAATGTAAAATGATATTCCCATTATGTCTGTCCCATACCTACTAAGTATTTCAAAACTCTGAGAACACATAAACTAAATTAGAACTTACTTCTCTCTCTTCCCTCATTCCCTCTCCTTCTTTCAGGAGGAAGAAGTACTACCTATTTTTCCCACAGTACCATTAACCAGTCTGTAGTAAGTGCCTGGCTAAGCAACGATCCTACCAAAGACCGCATGAAAATTACCAACTTAATTCCAAATCAGACTTTATCTGTGAATAGTTTAGATATTTTGGGACCATGCCTAGTATACGGTACTGACGCAGAGGCTATTTATGTGAACAGACAACTCTTTGCATGAAACGACTCCAGTATCCCATTGAAGTACGCATGACCTTGAACTACCGGGAACTGTCAGGTTCATTCTTAATGATACTCGTTAGTTATCGGTGCCTGGGGGAGAGGGCTACAGCTGGGTCCTGGTACTGCAGAAGAAAGGTAAGGTACCTCAGCTTCTGACACCTGTCACTCGTTACTGATGCTCCAGGATGGGCAACTCATTTCTTCCTCAATGCCTGTTTGGTTTTGGTAAGAGGAAGGTAGTCACTAGGGCAAGATATTTGCTGTAAACTGATGTCTATAATACACGTGTGCATACAAAGTGAAGAAAAAGGAAGCGCCCAGTATTTCCCCCCCAGTAAAGATACTTTTCTGGTATTAAATGTAAGGCTAGACTATGGAGTTCTTTGAAATTCTTTTTATGCCACCTGAGAGAGATGGGGTTTTTAATCGGAGGGGTTTTTTTATATATTTAGCGGATGTAACTTTTTATGTTCATTCATGAGAACTGGAAAACTGTTAAAACTGGTATGTGAAAGGTTCTATAAGAATTTGAGCATTTTAGTAACATTATTTTGGATTATTTGCAGCTTCATCATGGATGCTGTGTGTTAAAACTTGATAATGTGCTGGTAACTCTCAACAAAAGTGTTTTTTATAGTTAAGAGGTCATAATTGACAGATGCATTGGCTGTTTTTTCATGTGTGAGAACAAGGTTTTCTAGACTTGACACGTAGTCTTTGTCACAGTCAAAATTTCACATCTGGTCTGTTGCAATCTTTGAAATGTTTAATTTTACAATGAGTGTTGCACCTGCCTTTTGTTGCAGAGGACCCTTTCTCTTAATTTTAATAAAAACTTTTGCACAAGAATCCTGGTCCGACTGACTGAGTCTGAGCGGGTGTACCTGGCCGCCTGTGCGGGAAGGTCACGAACCGCGGGCTGATCCTGGGGCTGCGGCCTGAGGGACGGAGGGAAGCCCCGGCCTCCGGGCAGCAGCTGATGGAGTCACGAGGTTTTACACGGCCTTTTCCATCAGAACCACTTTGGAGCGTAGTCGGCGTCCGCGAGCCCGTCGGGGCTGCTGGCGTGCCCGGCCGGAGGAGCAGGGTC